AAAAGACACACGTACTGTTTTTCTTTAATTTTACTTTCAACGTGTTATTCTAAGAAGTAAATAATTGAAGTACTTTATTTATAATAAATAAATAAATATGTTAATTATTCAAAACAGTTTTCAAACAAATTATTTTAAAGGCGTTGAAACTTTTTTGCAAAATAAAAAAAGGCAATTATAAATAATTCACATTACACCATATTACTTATTATTATGATAGAACGCGGGGTTTTAGCCTTTAAAAGAAGACGTGGGGGGAGAGCCGTTGCTCTCGGCTCCACAGAGAAGCGCACGCAAACACACAGTGGCGGGAGATCAGGGACAGGCGCACTCTGCTGCGTTTTAAATCCAACGCTGCCCCCTGCTGGGCAGCAGCGATACAGCACGTTTTACAGCGGTCACAGCGAAAAGCGTCAACGTTGGCTGTGTGGCGTCACTCCTGTGACCAATCCTGCTTCAGGCAGAGGTTAGGCCCTCCCACCTCATTAGCATACAGACAGGTAAATAAACGAATGAATCAATGTAGGTGAACAGAAATGAAAAAAATCATTTTATGGTTTGTATTTGTTTATGGATACTTTAATTCATTTATTTCTATAATTATTTCAGCATTTATTCATTCATTCATTCATTATTATTTTTTTTATTTATTCATACATTTATTCATTTATTTATTTATTTATTAAGCCCTCCACAGTCATCATCATTCCTGTGATGAATTAATACCTATTAAAACAACCCGTTTGGAAGTTCCGTTTGGTTTGCCGACCTCATCAGACCAAGCGGGACTCCCTTACATGGCCGTGTCCGTCCCCCCCATCGCACCACATTTGATTGAGAGTGAAGGATAACTTTATAAAAGCGCTATGGGTCACCCAAAAACCGCTGAATCATTGTGAGATCTCTTACGCACAGTGCCCTTGGGCATGGGTGGCATATCTTTGAACATGTAGTGTGTTTTCACTACACCATTTGGTTTCAATTTCTGCATTGTTCACCCCCTGTTGTGAGGACTGTCCCACATATTGTCTCCAGATGGAGTCACATTCTCGTTCTCTCAAATATGGATTTCACTGCTTCATATTCGAAAACAAAGCTGGGGATAAAATCAGCATGACCGAATCATCGTTCTCTGGTTTCTGCGCCCACACTCGTACAAACCAGCAGCAGCTTTTAGCATTTTGTGGCTCACACCAACTGGTTAGTGTTTATAGTGGAGTGATTTTGGGAGTCAGCCTGTTTTTATTGAGTGATACCTTCCCATCAGTCTAATTTCCTGCAAACACCTCATATCCGTCGTTGGAACAAATATGTTCATCCTCCCTGTGAGAAAGTGCAATGATGCGAAAACTCAAAACAGTTGTAGTTAATGAGTTGCTGTTGAATAAAAATAGATATCCTTTTCTAATCTCCGGGGGGGGGGGTTAATACTTATTTTGAAAACTTCAAACATTAGCTGAGTTCTATTATGTCTGAACTTCAATTATTTCTGATAATGCCAAAATGCCAGATGATGTTTTATTATCGTATTGTTGTTTTCCATTTATATCTACAGTGTTTGTTGACTTAAAGTGAGAGGGGATGTTCTTTGGAGCGGAGGGATTAAGTCCGCTGTTTGTCTGGCAAAATAACGAGGTAAGACACGGCCATCTTCAGTTGGACAGGCGGAAATAAACAGCGATGGTGTGACGTCTTAAATGCTCTTGTTCCATTGGTACCGGCTGAAGTTGGTGTGCTGGAGACTCGGGACATTAGCACCAAACTCTAAGCATAATGCTTTGGAGAAATAGCTCCTTTAATCTCACAGTTGCCGGTTCTGGTTCTAGATCCAGATTCGGGTTCTCGTGCATTACCACGATGGGAAACGCAAGTATCACTGCGCGGAAGAACCTCTTACAATGTGCGTCCCGCCGTCATCCAGCACATATCCCGTTACCTGCTGCCCCGCTGATCCCTGTACGAGAGCCTTGCGTCTTGAGAAGCTCCGGGTGCCCTCCCCTCCCTCCCCTCCCTCCCGGGTCAAACATGAGAGGCCGAGGTGATCTCCATCAGATGCGCTTGCATCTGGCAACTCGGCGTGCTGCAAGGCCGCTTAAGTTCTCAGCAAAATGAACAAAATGACAAATCCTTGTTTCTGCATCGGCTGCAGCATTTCAAGGTCAGAAGCGTTAGCATGACATTTCGTAACACATGAGAAAGTACTTGTAGACGCACAGCAGTGCGCGGAGGCGTGGGTCTTGCAGGGCCTCTGTGTTTCCAGTCGTAGATGCTCCCAGCGAGCGTCTGGGTAAATGTTGACTGTTTTGTCGGCGGCGAGCTCGCAGGGTTCCGACCATACCGCTGCAAAGAGGGTCACATGACGGCAAGAGAGCAAACCCGACCAGCGGGATGCCAAACTTTGGCAAGGGGGGGGGGTTGTGTGGGGTCAGTCCTTTGTATGCGGACCTGATCAAGAGGAATAACACGTTTATGAGGCTCTCCATCTGCTGGAGGAGGATAACGAGTAGAAGGATTAAGGATAGGACACATCGTTAGATTAATTTAAGGGAACCAGGAAAGGGAGCTTACCGGGACACATGTTAACAAGTCAAAGCTAATGTGCTGTCTTTGTGTCAATGCTTTGTGTAATTTTTTTGTAACGTTTTGTTAGTCCAAGTGTCAGAGCTGATTTGAATGCTTTTATAATGAAACGCAGCAGTTGAGGAGTCAATCCAGGTCAGTTTGTTCTGTGCAGAAAGAGAGCAGTTTAAGGTAACCGAATCCAACGCTTGCACGATTTTTCTGTCGGACTAAAAAACACGACGTCGTCTGCATGTTGTGGCAAAACAGAACCGTGTGGTAAATGTAAACGTCGCTCGGTGGGTTCTGTCGCGAGCACCATTGAATCATCTCATTCGACCGCGTTCAGTAAAGACCCACAGCCACAGAGGAGACAGAGAAACGGGCAGCAGCAGTATTTCCTGTTGAATAAATGTCCAGAATACACAGTTCTCCTGCCTTTCAAACCACAATTCCTCAAATCTTTTATGTTGCACGTGACCCCAAGTGAATCAGCGTGCATGTGACATTCCTGCATGCGGTGAAAGTTATGAGTCAAAATCTTTGAGCGGCTTTGTGTACAGGTTATAGTACGTTTGCACGCCTCCAGATCCAAAAACAACCATCTTACACAACTTCCAGGAAAGGGCTGCAGAACTGCAAAGCCTGGTTCCGGGGTCAAACAAGAGAAGGAACATTTTGACCGTTAAGTGAAGACGGCTCGTGTTCATTTTCTCACACATCTGGAGTGCTTGTGTGTGTGTGTTCTGTTTGTCTTTTCCTCCAGTGTGTTGATTGCATGCACACATGACGTTCTTTAACACCCAGAATCTAAAGGGGACTCACTCGTCGTCGTTGTGGTCGGTGAAAAAAAAATGTTTGCTATGGTTTTTACATGTCAACCAAATCAACCAAATCCCAAATTGCATTACTGTTACGATTATAATTAGTGAATCAACTTCCACCTCAAAGTCTCTCTTCTCTGACAGACAGCTGGGCCTCGGATGTTTGTCAGCTGAGGCGGTTTTACCTTCATCAACAGCCTACTTTAGGTAGTTTTAATGAGCACAGCCGATCTCAGAGAGTAATATTAATGATATATCATTTTTCGGGACGTCTACGTTTCCCATGGACCCCAGTGGAGTGGACCTACAGTAAAGGTGGAAGGCCAGGTCAGAGTGACGCAGGGGTCCGCCGAGGCACTGTGGGAAAGAAACCTTAGCCGAGCGGGTCAGGAGTCAGATGTCTGTGAGATGAAATGTGCTGCCTACACAAGCGTGCGGTGGCGTTTCTTGAAAACGAGAAACACAACTCCAATGAACGCTAATGTCCGCTAGCTGTCCGCTAGCTGTCTCTCCTCCGTTTGCCACGGCGACTTACTTGGAGGATAGAAATATCGCTTGGACGGCGTTGTTTCCTCGCACCCCCAACAGGGAAAATAAGCTGGAAGTTGCTGAAGGATAATATAAAAATAATAATCAAACTGGTCAAACTTTCTAACGGCGGCGATGTAGCTGCTGTCGGTCGGCGCCCAGGAGGTGACTAGCAGTGGTTGTTAGCTTTTAGCCCCCAAAAACGGTAGAGTGCAACGAGTTAGCAGGCAGTAAAAACTGCAAACCTAAATCTGATTATATAACTCAAATGTATTTCCTAATAGCATTAGCATTACCCATTGATTACAGTAGGGGCAAACTAATAGGAGTCAATACAGTGTTGCTGTTGTTGTGAGTCGTCGCTGCCTCTGCAAGACGAGTGAGCACTCTATCATTTTCGAGAGGGAGTCGTGGCCGACCTCTGACCTCAGTGCTTGTGCATGACGTGGCCCTCCGCCTATCTCCTGGCTCGAATGGAGGGAGAGGGGGTCGGTACAGCACCAAAACACGACCCCCCAACCTGACAGGTCAGATACCGTGGGAATCCTCCCTGTGAAACGTCCAGTGACAAGGAGACAAGGGAAGGACACCAGACGAGTGAATCTGCTGCGTGTCCTCTCGCCCGTTTGGCTGACGAAGGCGGCGCACAGGCGGGCAGGGAGGAGATTTCTCGTGGCAGAGGGTTTAAAAAAAGACGTTTAAGTCTCCCTCATCTATCGGAGCCTGGGTAGGAAAACGAGAGCGGAACAAGATGAAGGTATTCAGCCGGAGAGAGTGCAAACCGCAATTTGGAACTCAAACGTCTTCACGAAAGGTCACGAGGTTGCGTCTGGGCGTCTCGCTGCAGCACAGAGCTTTAAAGGAACAGGAGTTTTCAAGAAGCACCTTTTTCTTGCATTGGTTCGGGAAGTTTCTCACAGCGGACGAGGCGTTCATCCCACCCCAGCCGTCTGAGAAGTTCTGCACTCCTGCCAAGGGGCCAAATTTCAGACTCGCCATTGGGCCTTGTTTTTCACAGGGGGGGGGGGGGGTTGTGTGACCAGGTCAGAAGGTCTAGCGGAGCCAGAGCCAGTGGAGAAGAGCCCGCGGTATAAAGAAGGTCCATCTTAGAGAGAGACGGGCAGTTCAGGACTGACAATTCGAAGGAACGTGGAATATTCGCGTAACCAGAGAGAGCCGTAAAACCGCCGCCGCCTCGCATTCTCCACCTGCCCGTCGGGGGAACTCAACATGGCACCGGCGATGAACTACTGGATGTGCTTGGCTGCTCTGTCGTCCAGCCTGACCTGCGGCCACGCGCTGAGAAGGTGAGAAGTGATTTACAGCAACCAACAACGGAGATTAAGACAAACGAGTTTAATATGCGAATATTAGAGCAAATGTTCTCCGCATTGGCCCAACATGTGTTTCGGGTTTATTTTTTACGGCAGGGCGCTTAAGAGCAAAGCGGTCTGTGATTTGTTAAAGGCGCATTATCATTCTGGGACGGTGACCAGGCGCTGACTGGCGTGATGAATATAGCACCGGAGAATTTCTAGTCATCGCAAAAGGCCTTTTAGTGTTTTGAGTAATCGCCGGCCCGTCTGCTCTGATCACAGAGTCTCCCTGAAGAAGATGCCCTCCATCAGAGAGACGCTGAGCGAGATGGGAGTTTCCGCAGAGCAGGTCCTGACTGAGTTGGCCCAGAAGGGCGCGGACGACAGCAAGCACAACAACGGGACAGTTCCCACTCCTCTGACCAACTACTTGGACGTGAGAGCGTTTTGCGCGTCGCTCATTGAGAGTTAGTTTGTGTTTACGTGTTTTGTGAAGGTCACGCATTCAGGAGGAAATCCAAAACGGACTGAGACCAAGTTAACTGGATTTGCGATCAGTTTCGAATTTCAAAGCAGCCGTTCAGCGGGGAAGGCTTTCAAAATAAAACTGCATGTCAAGATGACTCTTTGCAGGAGTCATACTTATTCAATCTCGCACATCGTGACCTCAAATTACATTTTTCTCTGACAGCGCAAGAAAATGCCCTTGTGCTTTCAATAAAATACCTCAGATGAAAATAAAAAAACGCATAATAAGCCGGTTTTGGGAGTCGGTAGTCATAAAAGTTTTTACTGTTCACCCATAACAGACTCAGTACTTTGGGGAAATCAGCATCGGCTCCCCGGCCCAGACGTTCAACGTGGTGTTTGACACCGGCTCAGCGAACCTGTGGGTGCCTTCGCAAAGCTGCTCGCCCTTCTCCACTGCCTGCTGTAAGTCCACACTCACCAACCGGCAAAAAGACAACAGCGACTGTTTTCAGTGATGAAAGTTCATGCTCGCTTTTTGCAACCAACAGCAGCTTACAGATGAAGATTTAGGTGTTTCCCTCAGGAGTGGGTGGCGACCAAAAAGGAAGCTAGAAATGTGAACGTGAATGATATTGTTTCTTTGTACCTGCTGGAAAGTAAAACCTTTGCTCACAAGTTCGCCACAATACGGAACACGGACAATAAGGATCAAAAGGTTTGAGCAAATCAAACGCACGCTTTGTTGCTTCACGTGAACGGTGTTCTGGAGTGAGAATTGTTCCCGGGTGCCGGTTCGTTTCACGACTCAAATCCTTTTTTGAACGTTTTAGTTACTCACAACAGGTACGACGCCTCCAGGTCTCGCACTTACATCGAGAACGGAACGGGCTTTTCCATCCAGTACGCCTCTGGGAACGTCCGGGGGTTCCTGAGCGAGGACGTGGTCGTGGTGAGTTGACAAAAAAGATGAAACGGTCTTTGCTGTTTAAAAAAAAAAAAAAGAAGTCTTGCTTCAATTTCCCCTCGCGGGCCGCACTCCCGACCTTTGACCCCCCCCCCGGCTCGTTTGTGCAGGTCGGAGGTATCCCGGTGGTGCAGGTGTTTGCCGAGGCGGCCTCTCTGTCGGCGATGCCTTTCATCTTCGCCAAATTCGACGGCGTGATGGGGATGGGTTACCCCAACGTGGCCATCGACGGCATCACTCCGGTGTTCGACCGCATCATGTCTCAGCACGTCCTCAAGGAAGAGGTGTTCTCCGTCTACTACAGCAGGTGGGTCGAGTCCCCCGGACCTCCTCCACCTGCTGTGCCGTGCGGTCTGGACCCTCGCGGGAGGAGAACGTTCGTTTTTTTGAATCCCTGTTGGCAGAGCGGTTCATAAATAATATACTTGTATTATCATCGCCTCGGGTCTCTCTTTGGATGTGGTTGAGACGAGAGGGCGTTAAAAAAGTCACGCCTCATTCATCACGCTCAGAAATGTGAAAAGGAAAACCGTCAAAGAAGAATGATGATGACAGCTTCCATGGGAATTTGTGGAGAACATTCATAGGAGCGATAGGTCATAGGCCTGAACATGATCCAAAGGGATCAGAGGGAGGAGGAGGGAGGGGGGCGGGAAATGGCCTCGAGGGTGATTGATTGAATGTTTTCAGGGACCCGAAACACTCCCCCGGCGGAGAGCTGGTCCTCGGCGGCACCGACCCAAACTACTACACCGGAAACTTTAATTATATGGACACCAGACAGACGGGCAAGTGGGAAGTCACCATGAAAGGGTGAGATGTCTATCCGGTGCGTGTGCGCGGCCATCCAGAAACCAGGCGCCCCGTGATCCATCTCCTCCTGCTTCGTGCTTTCAGAGTCTCTGTGGGGATGGAGATGCATTTCTGCACCGAGGGCTGCACAGCCGTGATCGACACCGGCTCCTCCTACATCACAGGCCCCGCCTCCTCGGTGTCGGCGCTGATGAAGACCATCGGAGCACAGCTGGATGAAAGCGGAGTAACGTTTCACACACGCAAAACATGGTTTCCCACAGAAACGACTGTCCATAAAAAAAAGATCAAGAAATGAACTGACCGTCACTTTTTTGTGTGTGTCGCTCACCAAAGTACAAAGTCAACTGTGACTCTGTCAAGTCGCTGCCCAGCGTCACCTTCCACCTGGGGGGCCAGGAGTACTCGCTCACCCACGAGGACTACATCTTATGGGTGAGCGCTTCCTCATTTTCACAAGAACGTGCTGTAGCGTTGATTCATCCGTCTCCTCAAAGGTGAAATAGGGACAACGCACTGATCTCGCAGCTGCAGACGCTTTCTTTCTTTTTCAGTTTGTAAAATATGTTTGAACAGGCTGCGCCCTCATCCGTCTCCGCTGGGTCACTCCTTAATCCTCGTGGACGGACAAGTCTGTTTCCTGTGCTTCTCCCACCGTCTCAGGGGCCTTTACTTGTTTTTCCTTCTTCTTCTTCTTCTTCTTCCCCTTTGTGGCTCCAGCAATCGCAGGTCGAGGGGGACGTCTGCACCGTGACCTTCAGAGGCTTGGATGTGCCGCCCCCTACAGGGCCCATCTGGATCCTGGGGGCCAACTTCATCGCCCGCTACTACACAGAGTTCGACCGGCGCAATAACCGGATAGGGTTCGCCACGGCGGTCTGACGGCGAGGAACATCCGCCGCGTTGCCGACAACGTGCCGTCGTCCTCTTCACGAGTACTCAAAACCGTCCAACGTGGGCGCCGCGTTAAACATCATCATCAGCGAGCAGATTCTCAACACCTTCTGTCCTTTTTTGCTTGTTACTGTTTCTAAGCATTTAACGTGTGTGTGACTGCTAATATTTAACACAAAGCAACGTAGTTGTACTGACGTAACAAGAATAAACTTGTTTACTGGGGTTTAAATTGGACTCCAGCGCTGTTCTTTTTTCCTCAAGGCCTTCTGCAACAACGTGAAGGACGAGCTGACCGCCTGCACCGTTGAGCAAGAGCGGCTTATAAACAGCCGCCTCATGTTTGGCAGTAATCTGTGCTGCAAAACTTCACACTTTTTTTTTGAGGGATCTTCACTAGTCAGCGGTCAGAGGAGAGCGAGAGCCAGATATAATGTCACAGTTCAATGAAACCATTCTGTTTCTGCTCAGAGCAGTTTGTGCATCCCGGACATTAAGCAGTTATCTCTGTCTGTCTAAAAACATTTAAAACACATAAGTGAAAAAGCTGCAAAAAAACCCTGTTTAGTACCAGAGGCAAAAAGTCCACAGAGACATTCAGATCTGCTAGATAGCGAATCGAACCACACGCCATCATCTCGTAGCCCTGCCAGATGTCTCTTCTCGGTGCTACAATGATGTCTTCCCATGCTTTCACATCCGTGGACTGTCTGCTTGGGTTCAATCTAAGACGCTGAGGCAGCATCTCGAGCTCTGGCGTTCAAACATCTCTTACATGTGTGTCTATTTGGGCTGGAAACAAACCAGAACAATCAACATGTTTCACAAGTTGTTATCTGCATAATTCCTGCCAAATATTTGCTTAACAAATAGCTTCTTTCATTGCAAGGCCTCAACCCATCAATCTAAAAGCTCCTCAACTTCCTCTCATGGTCACATGACAGTTTGCAGTATTAATGTATCCATCATCATTTTAGGAAACACTTTTTAAACATCACGTGAAGTTGATTATTTTTGATAAGTAGTTCTAAAATCACAACACACACCACGTACACGACTTCATACATTTTGGATTTGTGCACTTCCTGGGTAAATGAACATGGCTTCATAATGTGTAATTATAGGTGATATTCTCAAAAAAAGTGAATGAGCTGAATTTGGACAAACTTTACATTAAACTCAATTGAATTCAAAAGCAGACACACGCTGGCTCCTAAACCCAAACCCCCCAGGACAGATTTCTGGAGCCCACGCTAATCAAGAATTGGAAGCAGTTGAAAACCTCCGCTATGTTTTCTTCTTCACGTCTGCAGCAGCAGCGAGCCGATCAATCCCTCCCAAAGACGGACCCATTTTAAAAGTTGTTATTCCGAGGAATTAAATGTGGACAAGTGATTTAAATGCAAAATGCCTCCGGGGGGATGCACAGAGTTTCTAAAACGAGAACAGATGTTATCATCACCCACGTCGGGCTCCCTCAAGCTTCATTCGTCCAGCTCCTCTCTCCAGTAACTCCCCAAGAGGAGGTGCTGAGCAAAAGCGAAGCCTCTACGCAGGCCAGTGGGTTTTTCGTCAACCAGTGAAGAGTTGGGAGGTCTGTGAAAAGGGCCGTCTGTCAGCTGCATCTCGCTCTGCACTCACTCTGTGCAGGAGGAGCACATCGGGCGATGCCTTCCAGAGCAGCACCACGCGACCGGGTGTCAGATTGACCTTAACGGAGCCGTTTTTTTACCCCCCTGCGGAGTGGAACTGAATATACGAAAAGGGATCTCTTTGCTTCAATGTGTGTGACACAGGAGTCTGGTGTTTTCCATTGTCAAACACGTACCAGATGACCATCCTTGAGTCAACCCTGATTCACAGCGAAGCGAAGGTAGGTGAGAGCCTTTTCTTCAATCGCCAGCGGGCCGAGACGGGAAGCCCATGCAGGAACAGAGTAGCGCGAGCTATCGGGGGGGGCATCGTCGTAAGTTTTTTTTTTGCTTGATTTCTCTCTGACACACACAAACGTATCATGTGCAGCGTGGAGCTGGAGGGACGTTTGCATCATGTGCGCTTGAATTTTCCACATGCGATCACCCTAATCTTTTAATTAGATTACACTCATTTGATTATCATCAATCATGCGGGGGTTCTCAATAGCAGTCAGAGTGTTTTTTCTCACTCGTAGCAGCTTTTTTTTTTATTTGAATGGCAATTAATGGGAAAAATTGCAGAAACAGTGTTTATGTTCCATAAATTCAAAAGCAGCTCAGTGTTATGTTGGCAACCGTTGAACTGAATGCAAAAGGAATGCCACTGGTCTCTTCTGGTGGCATTGAAAGAATTGCCTCTTGGGTCCTTAAACGTCTCAGATGTTAATCAGATCAGGGGGGAGTTGGGGGGGGAGGAGGGGAGGCTGCACTGAACTCTCGAGGTACGACGAGTCAACGTTGTGATTAATAACACAGAATAATAACACCAAAAATAACTTCCACTGCGGACAAACATGTGCCACGTCGCCATCTCGAAATGCAAAGACAACGTCTCCTCCGGCCTCTGTTCCGCTGCAGAGGCGCTTGGTAGCAGACATCTGCAGCAGCGGGACGCGTCTCCAAGGCAGAGGGCACTCTTTGACCGTTGCTGTGATCCATCTGACGGGAGGCCGTGGGTTCCTCCGGGGTCACTCGAGTGTTAGTGTTGCAGCAAGGAGGCACCCCGCGATCATGGCGGGATCTCGCCCTGAAAGCCGATCCTTTAACCCGAGTCGAGCTGCGGAGTCACAGCTCACAAATATTGGCCACTGGGGAGAGGAAATTATTGCCGCAACTAAAACAAAGCTGCTTTTATAACGTTCTCTGGATGGAAAGGCAGAAACTGTTATTATGCTAACTGTTTAACTGTTCTGGTACACGCAGGAACACATTCCATTAAGCCTCGCGTCAAGCTTTGTTTTTCCATGTAAAATACTTTATAAGCACAGGCTTCTAACGAAGACCTGATGATCGCGCCGAGGGCGGCCAAAGGGAATCGGAGTGAGAGAGGCGACCACGTGGAGCACGTTCACGTTGAAACGGTTAACTTCAGGACGCCTCGTCCGTATTTAACCGAGTATCGGACGCGAGGGGGGACGCGCCGTAGACGTGAAGGTGACGCGTGGTTGTTGCTAGTTGCAGGTAAAGGGTCTGTGCGTACTGATGTTCCTGAGCTTCACCCTGACCATGGCCGAGGTCCCAGGTCCATGCAGACACTCCATCACCAGGGAGCACCTGCTGACGGTCAGGCATCTGGTAGGTGTAGAAACATCAGAAACACATCTGTTGAATCAGCAGCAGAAACTATGCGGCTGAAACCCCTGCGTGTTGTTGTTTCCTGCAGATGGACAACCAGTTGCGAAGCGGGTGCACGATAACCTACACGCTCATAGAACGGCGGAGTCTGGTAGGGTGACGTTTGGGTTGTGGGACTGTTTTCCTTCACTTGGCCGACTTTCCGTTGACTCCCGTCGTGTTTTCCCACAGAGCAAGTGTTGCTTCGTGAAAGCCGCTCTGCCCTGGATCCTGGAGCTCCTCACCACCCACTTCAAGTACGCCCGGGGTTCAGTCAACGACGGCTACGTCCAGTCGCTGAGAGCGCTCATCCTCAACATCTACTCTCAGAAATGCGTGCCTCAGATAAACGAGGAGGTCGAGGTGAGGCGCCCCAGGGGGTCTTCGGGCGGCGGCCCTGTTGATCACACGTTCAACAATAAGAAGCATGGAGAGCAAATATGTGGCGTGTGAGGAATTGCCCCCCGATGATAAATCTGCGGCACTCGCGATCAAATGAAAGCTGTGTTTCTTGGAATCTGCCGCAGGACAAGCCAGAGAGCTTTGAGACGCTCCACAGAGGGTCCACCTCGGAGGCGCTGCAGAGGGCTTCGGAGGTGCTGTCCGCCTACTGGGAGCTGGTGACGACCAGCGACGCGGCGGTCGACTGGAGGTGCCAGCACGAGTACACGGACGCCTTTGGCTCCACCACAGAGCTCTACACCGAGTCCCCCACGCCGTATTTTACAGGTGGGAATCTCTTCTGCCCCGAAAATGAATTGATGATCGGTTTGCGTGGAGCCCCCCTGAGATCAGCGCATCGGTGTCTTTTTTCCCCGCAGACGGTTACAGTAGCAGCTCGGCGAAGGCCTCGCACAGAAGGCCGGTCAGAGACATGTACATGCTCGGCTTCATCCTGGTCTCCGTCTGCGGACTGCTACTGATACTCACCCTCTACTGTTTCATCACACAAAAGGTACGAGCTGTTTTGTTGAGTTCTGCATCACATGTGCTCTAATAAAGTGAAAGCACGCATTCTGGGGCGCGTTGCACTCCGGCGGGCCTTGGCAGCCCGCCCCGCGCGCCATCTGTGGCACTCTGTATCTTGCAGAAGTTGCCGCGTTCACTCGCTAGCAAGTGCAGAGCACGATCAAATACGCCGGGACTTCTTCGTGGAGGATAGAAAGAACTTTTTTGCATCCGAGCGTGCAAAATATTCTCTGAATGCAGAGGAGTGCGTATGCAGACGATCGTCCGTTTTAGCGCTGTTGCGCCATTTGCTTGTGTCTAAAAAAAGTTAGAAACCCGCGCAGTGGTTTCCAAGTAATTCAATATTCAAATAATTGAGGTAACACAATGATGTGAAGAAGCATAGGACCAAGTTGTGAAAGCCCTTTTTATTCCCAGCATTACAAACTGGTGTCTGTGGTAACTTTCCCAGGAGAAGTCAAAGGATTTCTGGGAATTGAGTTTGAACATAACTTACTTGCAATTAGTCCTTATTGCTACAAAGGCAAGTGAAATGTATTAATCTTCCAGACTTTCCCAGATGTCATTCCCGACATTACGCTCATTCCTGTTAAGAGAATTGTTGATAAACACCAAAATAAAGAAGTAAAATAGTACTGGCTGTACAACCCAATAAAGTATTCCCAGTCTGTGTCCTGTTCAGGTCTACACGAGGCCTTCAGCTGCTGCTGAGTTATTAACTTAGAGCCGTGATTTTCTCCTTGTTAATGGAGCCTAGCTAATAATAACTTCAGTCAAGATTCATACAACTCAATCTAAAAAAATGAGCAATGCGTTGAAAAGAGACCAAATAAAAAGCGCCCAGTAAATCAAAAGCCGTGAAACAGTCCCTGCTGAGCATCGGTGACAAGAGAGGCCCTTTGAATTACAACCTGGCTCTCCGAAAACGTTTCTCTAATCCACAGCTCGAGCTTACGAGCTTTAAGGAAGTGGTACTAAATCTGGGAATGGGTTTGACCGGCAGCCAGCCTGGCCGGTGCGCTCGGCGAAAGGAGGAAGGAGGAAGGAGGAAGGAGGAAGGACGGGGACGGCGGTGTGCAAACAGCTCCTCCTGTACAAACCACTGCGTCTTGGCAAAAACACGCCTCTGTTTCAGATGAAAATAAGTCGGAGCGAGAAAAGTTATTTCTGCGGCACGTTTAATACATCAGGGCTATTTTGCGTGATTTAAAGGGTAATAAAAGGACGGCGGTCACAACACAGGGTAAAAGGAAACTATAACCACACACACACACACACACAGACTCATGAGGGTAAACGGATCAGGCGCGCTGGACTAGTGTGAAGAAGCTTAACAGAAACAATTCCTACAATCCCAGTGGCTTTTCTCTTCTCTTTTCTCTAGCTTGCACATAACTCCTCTTGTTTCCTGAAACGTTTCTTGTAAGATGGCGGCGAGCAAAGCGGCCGATCGATTTGGTGTGACGTTTGAGACTAAATCAGATCCTGAGATAACGCCAAGAGGTCTGGCTTGACTCTTATGCATGAAAGACAGAGGCCTTAGAAGGGACACTATTGTGTCTCTGTTTCCTTGTTTGACTGTACTGATCCTTGGGGCAAAAATCAGCTTCTGGGACCAGGTTTATATTTATCAGGCGATTCTGATTTGTTTGACATTGTCTAGCAGGCATGTGTTGAAGTTAACTGCAGGACCTGCTAGAAAATGCAATCTGCACGGAGAGAAACGCCATTTGTTTGCAGTCGGAGTGGCTCCTCATGGTGGACTCATCCTGCAGCATTGATAGGTCTTAACTACTAAAAAGCTGGTTTCTCAACAACATGTTGGATGTTTTGGATTGTTGGACTTTGGGGAGACTCCAAAAAAACCACCTCAACATATTAAGCAGTTCACTCATTGACGTAAGGAGGGGAGAGGAGACGCGTTCCCATCTGACTGAAGACTAGAAGGCTTGAAAGAGGAAGAGTGGTTGATGGATTCTGCGTATTGAATTACACGTGTGCTTATTCATGAGCAGGGACATACTACACGGGGGGAGGGGTTATCACGCTCCGGCTGCCAGGGAATGTGTGCAGTAAACAATTTCATTTTAGATTTAGACTTTTGCAAAAGTACACAGGCGGGAGGCCTCGAGCAAGCTGAGCGTGGTAGGACGTATGTTTACCAAGTACTTCCATTGTGGTTCGGTTTTGTTTCATCGATTGCACCTAAACAAGTAGTTTTGTAGCCTGTTTTCTGTTTCATTTGTTTGTGTTTGTTTACGTGTTTCAAATTGTTTCAACCTGCTACCGTAATCCAGGAGAAGAAAAACCCTTTCCCTAAAAATGTAAAGAGTGCAGTAGAACGGAATGGAAGCGTTTATGTGTCAAACTGTGACAAATGGAGTCCTAATGACGTTGATCAGGAACACCTGTGCTCACCGCGCGGCGCCGTGTCAAACGGCGGCTCCGGAGAGGCCTTTCGCAATGAAGGGCCCGACGACGCTTTTGACTCTCAATTACTCTTTGCCCGCAAGCCGTCGCCGTCTCCGTTCGCCACTGATGTCATTTCCTGTCTCGTTTTAAGCGCTGAACCTTTGACAGCGGTTGATTTTGTAACTGGACGTTTCACGTTACAGAGTGGCCCGAAGGCCAGAAACCCTTTGTGGGGTGGTGAACAATATCGGTCGTGACACATGATGAGGCATGAGGCTTGATGCATACCAATGAGTATAGAGCATCTACCCCCCCCCCCCCCCCCCACCTCATCCTGAAGCCTGGACTATTACATCTGTTCCGTTAACTATAGTAGCTGTGTGCGCAGTTGTGTGATTGTGGTATTCAGCAGTATTCTGAACAGTGAGGCAAAGTGTCTGAAACTTGCATTCTCTGTAATGGCCACCAGGGGGCGACTCCTCTGGTCCTATAGAAGTCTATGAGAAAATGACTCCATTGTAATCAGGAGTTTATGGTCTCAATCTCTAGTTTCAAGTCTTCTTCAACACAGCATGATGTTCATTTAGTAAATTATGGTCAAGCAGACCAGAAAGCACGGGATGCTTTAGGGCGGGGCTACCTGATGATTGACAGGTCTCACCCGTGGTCCAGTGTCGTGTATGTATTGATCTTACAGCATTATCTCTTTCAGTAAGTATTAACTTTTGGTGGGTTCGGTTGCAGTTAGCTGCACCCGCTCGTCTTGTGGTTGCAAAATAACAAGACGGCCTCAATGCCAAACTGGAGTCTACAAACCAACTTTCCACATCACGCCCATTCCTTACATTCTTCAGCAAGAGAAGGTCCATGGAGCTCGACGTTTTAATGTTCTTGAATTCTCCCCCCAGTTCTAATGCAGTTCAGCTTATTTGCTGAACTCGCACGGAGAGGTGATTCTGAACAGGTGTGCGCCGTGTGATCGCCCTTCCTCCTTAGCGGCGGTATCCCGCCTCTTGCCCAATCGCAGCCTGGATCACCGGCGGGCGAGCAGAGGTCAGATGCTGCGGCTAAATGGGTGGGAGAAAAAAATAATCCCGCCAAGACAAGTACTCCATTTAGTTGAGGTTTCAATGGTGCTAAAATCAGAGCTGGGATGGAAGTGAGCCGAAAGCTGCTTTAACAGCAGCCAAACATATGTTTGTTTTTAGTACTGAACTCACATCGCTCGGGCTGTTTCCCAACAGCGTGGAGTCAAAATCATAAGGTTAAGATAACCTGTTTGTGATTACTTTCTCAGCACTGTATATATCATTTATTTTTGCACCATGTTACTTGGTCATAATTTGAAAAGTATATTTATTGTGTATGCTTATTATTGTATAATCTGCTATTTTTTTTCTGTTGTTTTTCCTTAATATTATTATTAGAATATTTACTATGAAATCTATCCCTATTGTAAAGCTCAATCACACCTTGACTTAATTTCCTCTATTTAATGTATTTATTTATTTTCTTTTAAAGTCAAGAAGGGTTCTCTGCGACAGGGGGGAAGTAAATCCTGACTACCTTTTAAATGTATTATTTATGTGCTTTCTCATAACATTGACAATACACTGAAAATACAAAAGATTTCAGAAGTTGTTGAAACTGAGGCGCCGTGCAGGTTGAGTTATGATCTCGGCCTGTGTTGTTTGCTTTGTCTGCAGCGGTGAGAAAGAAACCTAAACGTGAACTTTTGATGGGCTTTAAAATTAAATTCAATCCAGAGCTTGTTCTTTGACTCGTGAGCCGCCGCACGTTTTGTACGGAGAAATATTGAATCGCCCATAATCGTGTTTCTACTTCTAGTGGCTTGGTCCTTTGGGTCGTCGACATGTTCTAACTGTAAGAACATTTTGCCCAAAATACAGTTAATTTGGTCTGGATTTTCACACACAAGCCCGCTGCGAATCCGATTTCTGTTGTGTTTTTTCCTTTAACATGACATTTATTTAATGAACACTTGTGTTTCATAAGATAGTTTAGAAGTTTTTTTCTTTTTTCAAAGCAGATAACTCACAACGGCCACAGATCAAGACCACATCCGAACTCAAGGTGAGAAAACCACTGTTACAACACAAAACGATCCGTCCTTGCGTGTTTGCCCAAGTGATCCTCACGCGTTCCCTTGTCATCTGGACCTTCCGCAGAGCCCGGCAGGACGTGGAGATGGAGCCGCAATAATGTGAGTATTGCGTTTAAAAGGCTGCGACATCTGGAGCAACACCTGCGTCGGCCTCAGTGGCCGCAGTGCACATCCGTCATTGATATTCTTTGCATCCTCGTTATTCCCTCCCCGGGCGGTAAAGAGCGGAGCGGCGGCGGACGGAGAACCTGAGAAGCTGCACATTCCTTCGATCGTGAACAAGTTTTTCACGTCTGTGTTGTGTGTTTGTTGTGTGTCGTGCTCACCGTTTTAACTGCGAAGCTTGGCTTTGACTGAGAACAAATCTGGTCCTTATTTTAAATAACATGGTATGTATATTATGTATTTGCAGATATCTTTTCCACTAAAGGCAAAAGTTTTATTTTTACACATTTGTGTGTTGAACTGCGTGCGTCCATTTGCTACCACTTAACCAACTGTTTTGTAATGTTGTGTGCCAAACATTTCCACAAGTTATTTATTAGTTTGACTCTATTCAACCACTGTATTGATAATAAAGCTTCAGTCGATATCAAATCCCCACAGATCTCTCTGTCTTTCCGGCTACCAGTACTTTCATGCACTAACACAATGAGCGCACATCTAAAGAGCCCATTAAAGGATTTGGGCTACCTAATTGACCACATCCTGTTGGACTAAAACGCTTTATTGGAAAGGTTTCAAAATGTCTTTTCCTGCTGCTGGGGAAATGTTCCCCTCATCATTGGCCTTTCCAAAGTCCTCACAAGGCCAACTTCTAAAAGTCACAACCAAAGCTGGTTTTGTTTGCAGGGAACTCTGGAGAGAACTCTGATAATGATAAAAACCCACCGAGGTGTTTTCACAGAGATTCGATCCCGATAGATACACGCCCGCTGAAAGATGTGTCGTAAGTGCACAGGGCGTCACAGCAAGAGTCTGTGGGAAGTACATGGAAAGACCAACTCGAGTGCACACTGCACACACTGAACACACTGCACATACTGAACACGCTGCACATACTGAACACACTGCACATACTGCACATACTGAACACGCTGCACATACTGAACACGCTGCACACACTGCACATACTAAACACACTGCACATACTGCACAAACTGCACATACTGCACATACTGCACAAACTGCACATACTGCACATACTGCACACACTGCACATACTGCACACACTGCACATACTGCACACGCTGCACACACTGAACATACTAAACACACTGCACATACTGCACAAACTGCACATACTGCACACACTGCACATACTGCACACACTGCACATACTGCACATGCTGAACACACTGCACATACTGAACACACTGGGCACACTTCACACACTGCACATACTGAACACACTGCACACACTGAACACACTGCACATACTGAACACACTGAACACGCTGCACATATTGAACACACTGCACATACTGAGCACAGTGCACACACTGAACATACTAAACACACTGCACATACTGAACACACTGCACAAACTGCACACACTGCACAAACTGCACACACTGCACATACTGCACACGCTGAACATGCTCCACATGCTGAACATACTGCACACACTGCACATACTGCACACACTTCACACTGCAGACGCTGCACATAACAACACAATACTGCGCTTTTATATGGGAATAACATTGTGCACAAACAACTAGGTGAGAGATCTTTCAAATGAAGAGGACTTATTATTTGAATCGGTCCAAACTTAAAGCGGAATTATAGAATTCAAGGTAATAATTTGTTTAGTTCAGAAACAGGAAGGCGAGCGGAATTGGTCGGCCTGGTGGTCATTGATCTCGGGTGCAGCCGTCTGAGGGAGCAGGGGGGGGGTTATAATAACGGATCGCATTCCCTCGTCCTCTGGAGTCAACCTAATGATGACTCAAAGAACCCTGCGTGTGCACGTGCGCCGGCCTCTGTTTTTGTAGAATCTGTGTAGGAAGTGAAGGAGGGAGACCGCAGCGCTCCACCCGACAGCCTGTAATAAATCCTCATCTATAAAGCGCTTCATTTCACGAGTTGCAGCTTATCAGTGTGCAAATCACTGCCCCGCTGGCGCCGGCACAAAACAAGAATCACGTTTCTGTAATGAGATTAGGTGCATTTCGGCGGAGGATTAAAAGCAGCTGTGTGAGATGAAGAGGCGAGTGGTCTTCTAGAATAACACGCAGGGAACGGCCTGAGACAGAGAAACATGCTGTGACAAGTGACAAAAGTTAGAGCAAATTACTCCAGAAGGTGATTCATTCTTTATTTTTAGGATGTGATAATAGATACAAACATTCCCTTTACACAAAAACATTTCAGAGCTGTCAATGGTGGATACAAAGTGATCTCATAAATCCTGACATTAGCTTGCTGTCAAGTTCACATTTGTCTTTGATAAACATTGCTCCAAATTCACTCCATAAAAAGTATTTTGAAAAAGAAAAAAATCCTCAAAAGGTTAGTTATTATCCTTGAATAATTCAGGGGCTCTTTGAGGAGAAACACATGTTTTTCACATTTTATAAATACATGTTTAAATGTTGATGGAAACATTGTAGCAGTCAAACGGTTTTGTTAGTGAAGATATGGTACGTGACGTTTTACAGATGAAGGTTACTCAACCTGTTGTTTTATCACCTTGTGCCACTTGGTGGGAGCAAAGACTGACTCTCACATTGATGACAGATTTACACAGGTTCTATTTTGCCAGACAGGTCAGCAGCAGAACTTGTTGGCACCTAAACATAAGGCTTGATCACATTCATTCTCCCTGTTATTTTTGCCAGCATCCTAAAACTGATGTAATTAGTTTGTGCGATGGATTAAACCCTTCCCCATTGCTCATCTGGATACGTGATTAGACACCTCTGGAATTTCCTGTTGAATCCCGGAGCAGTTCATCATTCTGAGTAACAATAGTAGCTCTCATAACTGTTTCGAAACACGTTATCTTAAACGTGTGTGATGTAGTGGACTGTGACGGGTTACATGGTAAATATAACAGCAGGGAGTGTTGAGTAACACCCCGGGTAGACAGGGAGAGAGAGAGAGAGAGCTACACATCAATGAAGGCAACACGCCGCAAACAGTAGGCCGCCTCGGCAGGAATGTCTTTGGCGCTGATCTCGTTGGATTCCAAACGCAGCATTCTCAGCCTGGAGAAGTTTGTCATGCTGATCGGACCGCAGAAGCTGCTCAGGGAGAACTCTGAAACGGCACAAGAGGGGAGAACCGTGAGGGCGGCCCACATGTTCAAGTCCAGCGGTTGTCGACCTTTTGCACACAGAACCAATAAAAAACTTTGGACACATTGAATTGAATGAAAAAATGTGATTTAGCAATCGAAGAAAACGGTTGTACGATAGTGGTGAGGAAAGAGGCTGAACTGGTCTGCTGGTCTGATACTGTGTCTCTTGCCAGACATGGCGGGTATTTTCTTTAATATCCGTTGGGCTCTGCGCAGGCGCCTCTTGTCACCAACGTCTCCGATACTCGGAAGATGGGTACCTTTAATGTTCTGGTGGTTGTAATCCCCCGTAAACCCTCCTGTTTTATGCCGTGTACATCTAATGCCAGCTTGTAATCCTTCCAGTTGCTGGAATTGTTGCTCCTCTTAACCATTGACAAATACGGACATTTTTTATTCTTGTCATAAATGGATTAGACTATACAGATGAGTGTATGAAAGAAAAACGCTACCTCGAAATATTTTTGTGTATTTTCTGCATTATTTATAGATGAATTATTTATAGATGACAAGTATAGATAGTGGAGATTTTTAAAAATATTTACATTCATGTATACATGAATGTAAATATTAAAAAAAATCTATTTCTATTTACATATAATCTATTTAATTATATACATTGTATATAATTAAATAGATAATTTAATTATAGGCCGTGGGTTCTTTAATAAAAAAATAAAAAGTAATTTTTCAGTTAAAGTGTTGATATTGAAATATTCCATGTGAATAAATGTTTGTATATTTGCAACATTGTGAAATGTTTTTTTGTGGGGATATTTTTGGGGGATACATGTAATAAAAAGGCTCTATTAGGTATTTCTTCATAGCAGACACACAAAAACGGAACTATGCCCACAACTCAAAAATCAATCAGGACTGAAAGCTTCTGCAGTTTTAAAATCTTTTCTGATTTTGAATTCAGACTGCATCACGCATGAGGGGAAATTACACTCTAATATGCACAGACTGCAAGACTAAAATATAATGTTGCATCAGGACACGCAGGATGTTCACAACAAAGACCTCACCATAAAATTGAGCTTTTAACAGTTTAAATGTGGCTGGGATGCAAAGCTCAAACTTTGTTTAGCTTGTCTACTTAGCCAAATGCATTGTGGGTAGCACCCTGTTACTTAAGACTGGGTCGACCAAAGTTAAGGACTTCATAATCTGGCCTTCTTCTCTCCGAAGAAAGGGGACAGCATTAATCAAAGGGATGGTACGACCTCTGAGGTTGAAGCAGTGTGAAAATCATTTGATCCGATAGCTGCTAGGATTTTTGAATGGGATCTTATTGCATGGAGGACTTGATTGGTGGTGTTTTGGGCTAGGCTCGACAGTAAGGATGGAATAGGAATAGCATGGACATCCTACTGGTGTGTGATGGATTAGCTGTGTGCTGCTTGACTGACGGGGTGTTTGCGAAATCCTTGCTGTGGCTATGGGTTGATTCCGTAGAATTAAGAAAAAACAACTTGGTATTCCCTCTTAAGGCTGGCTTCTGTGATTGCTAGAAGTATTGTGAATAAGTAGATGGCCTGGGGCAGGCATTTCCGAGGGAAAGCTAAAGTGGTTGCTCAAGTAGACAGCGGGAATTAGGATTGTCCCGCCAGAGATTGCTGATGCGATTGCTGGAAGCGGATACCTCGGGGGCCCTGGCATTCTGGCGACAGATGCCCTGGCCACGGAGAGCTGCTGTGGCTTTAGGCGGAGGGCATTGGGTTTGTAGTCACTCTAAATTTGTGGAGCCGGACAATCAGTGAATGAGCAGTGGCCGTTGTTAAGTACGGTCGCTGAAGAACTGAACGCAAAAATATGTTATAGTTTTAGAATGTTGAGCTTCTCTACAATAAATCACAAGGATACAAACAATGTGAGTGCACGGGTGCATGTCTGAACAACTCAAACCACACGAGCAACTGCAGTACATTAAGTGGCTGTAGGTCTTGTACTTACATGTGGAATTATGTCTAGGACAAAGGCTTGATTTCATTAGTTCTAAACCTAATTCAAACGTTGTGTCTCTGCCCACATTTACGCCACTGAAGATTTGTGGGTCTGGTGTGTTGGTACACGCTCAGTTCGTAGAGTGTGTCCTGCTGTGCCAGCCAACCCCAGTTAAAATATTTTAAGTTCTCACTTAAAATGTGCAAATATTGGTCAAAAAATTAAATAAACGAGTAGCTGTCATTATTCAGTGGGGGGGAGAGCGGGATTGGTTGTGAGAGAGGGAGAGTTTCTTTTTAGCATATGCTGGTGTTATTCACCCTCACACTGAGCCACAACCTTTTATAAATCAACAAAAAGCAAATTGTGCAACTCTATTGTCCTTATTAAACAAGAACCGCTGTGAACCCACTGTGAGGGTTTGATTTAGTGTTTTTTTTGCTAATTCCATGCCACGTTTTATTTTCTCAAAAAAAAAGGGCTGAACACGTAACATTGTAAATATACAGGGTTCACATGTTCAATCAAATCCTATTAACAGGATGTTTTATACCAGAACAAAAAAATGTACAAAACATCCTGGGAAGGGAGAAGTTTGGGGAAATATTGTCCTTGGACATTAAACAAAACTCGGCCTTACAAAGCACTTGGTAAATTGTGCACAGATACCTACTGATACATACCTATCTGTTGGAAGATAAAATTATTTTGTATTACTGTTTTGTGTGAGTAATGGAGGGTCATTTGTTGTCACTACAAAAGTGACCCAACCTCACTCTTCCCATAAGAAGATTATCAAACTATTAATGGATCCAATCTGGTCTGGTTTCAGCATTACAAACGGAAAACCCTACATTTAAATCCTCTAATACATTGAAGGTCACTACTTATATTATAAAATAGATGTTATAGTTAAGAAGTGTCCATACCTTTGATCTTATTGGCATGTAAATAAAGGTTCTCCAGGTTCCTACTGACCACAGGGATCTTCTCCAGTTTATTGAACGAAAGGTCAAGCTCAACCAGCGTGCTGACATTGAAGACATTGGACGGAAGTCCTTTGTCTGTTATCTTGTTATGAGCCAAACGGACAAACTGCAGGTTGGGATTCAAGGTAAGAAAGCCCGTCGGCACACTCTCTATGTCATTAAACTCCAGGTAGAGCTGCTGCAGGGCCTCTGGGAGCTTGTCTGGGACTTTCCTCAGCTTGTTTTGCCTCACATCCAGCATGGTCAGAGACTTCAGTCCCTCCAACGCACCTCCAACGTCCTCTAGGACGTTCGCTTGGAGCCGAAGGGCGGTGAGGTTGGTCATTCCCTCGAACGAGCTGGAGACAACTTTTGAGATCTTGTTGTGACCAAGTCGCAGCTCTGTGATGGACTTCGGCAGGTTTGGGGGCACCCGTGTGAGTTCGTTGTGGTCCAAGAAGAGGCGGTCCAGGTGCTTCAGCTTGCCGAAGACGCTCTTGCCGATCTTGTCCGAGTCGAGCCGGTTGTTGAACAGCATGAGCCAGACCAAGTTGGGGGCGTCGTCGAACACCCCGTCCCGGATGCCCGCGATCTGGTTGTGCTGCAGGTAGACGTACTCGATGTGGGAGGGGACGTTCGGGACATGCTGGAGGTTTCGACCGTTACAGTACATCGCCGTGGGGTAGCTCGGTGGGCAGTCACACTCCAGGGGGCAGTCCGCGTCCTCGGCCCCCCAGCCGAGGGGCTGCCGCCGCCCACGCAGCTGGGACAGCCACTGGCTGTAATGCTGGCTGACGCTCAGATCCACTATTGCCATAGTGAGAAGGAGCACCGCTGTCCACATGATCCCTGATGGAACAAAAACACATGAAGTCAAGCTGTCATACACTGACAGTATGACATTGGAGTACGCTCATTTCCTACGAATCTACTTCTCTCTGCTGCTCTGCTTTTGAAATGGACAGTAGGTACGATACACCCACCGGCTGGTAGGTCAGACACGATGCTTCTTCCCTTCCTCACGTCGGCGGCGACTCCCTCAGGCTGAGTGCAAAGTGTTCCTGCTGTGCGGTAAATATCCCCTCTTTACCTAGAGACTGTAGATGCAGCACGGGCCCCCGGACGCCCACTTTAATCAGATAACATGCATTTTCAGCTTGCGTGTAAAACCGTACACGGCAACATATCACCTCGCGCCATGAAAATAACAATCCCGGTGCAGACATCTGCTTTTTAACAGCCTTGTTTTCCCTCACCATGTCATGCCTTGTAATTAGGGAAGACTCAAAATCAGGCCCGCTATTCATTGCAGCAGCGTGGAGATATGGAGGGGTCAGGGGATCCTTGGCTAGATCCTGCAATTGGTGTTAACCTTCTTCTCAGTTGCAGCATGCTTTTTGATATTGTTCACTGGATGTTTGAACATGCACAAAGTACGACAAACCCTATTATTAGTCCGCGATCATCCTTCTTAAACATATTTCTCCTCCTGTCTCTTGTATCCTGCTCCATGTACTCTACTTTTCTCAATTACAGTGTTCAAACTGTGGAGAGAGTTAACATGTGATTTTGTGCCGGCAACTCCAGACAAGGGAGCGCCATCATCGTATGCTGTGTTGAATGTATGCCTTCACTTTCAGAGACACGAGTGAACCCCCCGGACACAACAAAAAGAACAAGTATATTTTGTTTACAAAGTACAACAAAACAATAAGTGGCGAAAAACTACCTTGTATCTATGGATACAATATTTTCCCAGTGATGTTACATGTTCCTAAAATTAAAAAGGCAGACATTCTGTCATTCTGTCCTAACTGTGGGAGTATATCCTTCCTCACTGGAGTATCCAAAGTAGCAGTAATAATGTCCCTTTGAAAATCAAATCCAAAAGATTCATCTTGCAGTTATGATCAAACAATCTTCAAATATCCGCAAACTTTATACAACAGGCATATATATTCCTTTTCTGGCAGGACAACGTCTCGTTCTGCGTGTCTTTTCAACAGGCCACAAAGACATTCTGAATGAAAACAGGATGCAAAAGCTGGAAATATTCTCTTGTAATTGAAGCAACATGTTTAATTCAAACCGTTCCGGTGTCATATATTCATGGATCCAACTAAAGCCCCAAAAGCCTACATAATCCCCATTATATGAGAATGCACAATAAATGCTCATCCCTGTTGTAAGCTGTGGTGTATTTTAAAACACATCTCTTGTCAGGAATGGATTTTCCTGACAACCATAAACAAGGTGGACTGTATTCAAAAGAATATATGACATCTCAAAACAACTGAGACATTGATGCTTGGGAACTCTTTAAAAATGAAAAGTTCAGAGTGTACATGTATCCATCTTAAATAAAATACTGGGGCTTAACATAAGCAAAGCAGCGGTCTCTGTCCTGTAACTTGAGGCACACTTCTGATTGTTCAAGCTAACAAAACTACCAGCACACACAGACACACACAACTGCTTCTCTGCGGCTCACTCTCATTGTTTTGCACGTAGATTTTTTATTTATCTTGTCGATTTTTATTTAATTCTAAAGTGGAAGTGTCTTCTACGACTACAGCTTCTGCGTTATTTTTTTTACGACGCTGTACCGGCCACCAGTTAGCAGCTAACGGAACCAACGGCACACATTGCTGCACCTCACCAGCCACCGCAACGTCTTTAGACTTTCTATCGTCTCTTTCTATCACCATAGATATGTACTGAAATAATTCATATATTTTGCACGCAAGAATTTACTGTACAACATTATTGAACGGTGGCATCTGTGTTGCAATCAAATTGATTCAACCTTGCAATAAATAATTTTACATATATTTGTTATTAATCTCAGAGTATGTCTGTGTTTTATGACTTTGCCATCTCAGAGATGCCAACAGCTAACTAGTCAAATAACACGCAAAACCAGAGAGAAAAACAAAAAGATTTAATCCAGAGTAAAAGACATTATACATTAAAATAGTAGTGCTATTATTTTTCACATGGACAGGATGCCACTGTCACATTTATGAATTTATATGAATTACCGCTTTGAAGAAAATGTATTAATGGTAAAATAGCGACTGTTGTTCAGTTGTCCGCGCAGTTTCAGTCTCATGAGATTGGAAAGTGTGATTAGTGCTACACATGGTCAACACGTTTTAGACACTGCACACCCACAGTGACAAATACTTGCGGCATCACATCAGCATAAAAAAATATGTGGTTTCCGGTAATGTTCATTCAATCGACCAAAATAAATGATGCTTGTAAACTATCTTAACAACACCCTGAGGGCAAAGAGTCTCAGCGGTTTCCTACGCGCAGAAAGAAAGACTTAAAGAAACAGGAAACACCCGTAAAACTCTCAGTCGATGCCACACAAACTACCTAAAATACAGTAGATTTATGTTTGCCTCTTAGAGAAGATTCATTAACACGCATTAAAGCACACAGCACACCTTTCAATGTACAGAAAGTTGATAAAGCACTTTTATAAAACATGTGCTTTACAAATTTTAAAACTAAAATCATTTGAGGTTACCAAAAATAAATAAGAATCGCCGAAAATATATTATGAAGGCTATTAGAGCCAATTGGCAACACTAAATATCACAAAAAGCTAAATCGTATGGCTGCATTTGTGAGAAACTGAATTCACTAAAAGTAAATATTTCACTCGCTTAGAAGTTGTGTGGCTGAGTTTTGGATTTTCTTTCTTCTCTTCAAGAGTAGAGGATTAGTTGAGTCAACAATGGTTTTGATTTTGATCTGATCATAGTCCACTCTCATTGTTCGCACGGCGTTTGTCATTTCCTCCTGATAATAGAAAACACATCACTTTTATCGAACACAACAGGAAAGAAACGAAACACACATGTCCAGTTTCAAGTTTAGAGTGATGATCTCATCATGTGATGTTATGATATTTCTACAAGGGAACAGGACCATCATACATTCACTCTCAACCCACTTCAGATGTTTGGATTGACAAAAACGATTGAGGAGGACCAGGTCTCACCTTCACCTTCTCCCAGACTTCCTGCTCCACCTGCAGCAGGTGGCCGGTGTGAAGAGGCGTCCGTGGGGCCTCCACGGGCCGCTGCACGGGGGAGCGAGAACACAGATAACTTTTCCACCAAATCATGCAAACGTCTCTGAAAAGCTGCAGGTGCTCAAACAGATTCGGCGTCTCACGTTGATCCAGGGATGGCTTACGAACTCGCCGATGGTCATCCTCTGGGTGGGTTCGGTTTTCAGTAAGTGGCAGATTAGCTGCTTAGCTGAAAACAGGGAAATCATCACCACCGTCATCCTCAAAACAATCACATGTGTCTCCTTGATTACGTGCCGTGCAGTAATCGCAATTATGTGCGAGACCAGTTTCCTGACTGTCACGAGTCTGCGTTCCCACGACAACAGTTACAGCTGCAACTGGGCTTGGCTTGTAAATGCCAAAAAAGGTACATGGCGTTTTCCCGGCATTGGCATCCAGTAAAACACCGGTTTCATTTCCCTACCCACTCACCTTCCTCAGACACGTCGCTCCACTCCGGGGTGGGGAACTCGTATTGTCCATTACGGATCCGTCTTTTCATCCCTGGGGATATGGCCAGACCGTGATGTGAGAAAAAGGGAGGATATCCACTAAGCCTGAGTATATCAAAGAGAGAAAAATTTAAAATGTAATAAAAAAACTAAAATATTCTTTGGAACAATGTTTGATTGCAAGGTGAGAATAGTAAAAGAATCCCTGAAACACCCCGATTGACTTACAAAATATACATGATGACGCCTAGGGACCACATGTCGCAGGATCTGTCATACTTCTCAGGACCAAGAACTTCTGGAGCTGCCACAGTGTTAACAAAATATTTTAGATTTCGCACTAAAGGTCTAAAAGTTCAGCATCAAAAACGTGTCATATAAGTGCCGTTTTAAGGATTTTAACCACAAGTTCACAGGACATAACTTCTCATAACTTGCATTGGTCCATCGGAAGCAAACCATTAAATCACCCTTAAAGGGCAAAACACTCAGCAGAGAGAACGTCTCATTGTCTCAAAGCCGATCACACTGACCGATGGCCGGGGTTTCCACTCCAGGGAACTTTTGAAATTAATGTGGTTAAGACCATTTTAACAGTATTTGGCTCGAAAAGTAAGAAGCTAACGCTTATTTTAACACAGTTAAATCATCTGAATGCATAACACAATAACTTTTATCAATAGTTTTACTGGATAGTTAGCTAAAAAACACCCTTGTTACGACCCTGACGTTAGCTTAAGTAGAGCTAAATGTTTGCTTTTCTTTTTTAACAATAAAAAAGAAAATATAAACTAATGAAAGTTTGATCTCATTTTAACTTTTTCCTCATGCAATACTATAAAATGTGCAGCTGTCAGTTTCTATATATTTCTTAATATTCAACCGGATTTAGTTACTTCCTGTGTCACATGTGGAGGTGTCTCACCGACGTAGTAGGGGGTAAAACAAGGTGTCGCTAAAGAGTTTGAGGCGGTGATTTCTTTGGCAAATCCAAAGTCTGTCAGCTTGAGGAGGGCATCCGGCCTTTTGGACGTGTACAGCAGGTTCTCCGGCTGAATAGAAAAACAGTAGATAGCTCATTGTCTTTTCATGCTAACGACACCACAAATTCAGTTTAAAATGTTTCATGTTCTTTAGATTAAACCCCTGGATCATAAAAGGGTCTTAATAGAGCCTTCTGAGTCGGTTCAAGATAAAACCCTTGGAAAATTAAATTATCTCAATAGAACTCTTTGGTGTCTAGATGAATCCCTTGGAACATTAAAGGCTCTCAATGAAGCTCTCCGGCTGGGTTCTAGATAGAACCATCGTCATCGTTAAAAGGTGAAAAGGATGGGACTTCCAGATAGGTCCCAGATGGTTTGAGGTATAATCCTTTCAGTTGAGTTCTAGCTAGAACCCTGTGAATAGGTTCCAGGTGGAACCTTCATAAAAGGTCTCGTTGCCAGGAAACAAAAAGCATCCTGTGATGACAAGCCAAGAACCATCTATACTTCCATTTAGAAGCTTTGTTTCAATGTATTAAAAAATATAAATGTAACTCAGTGACAGAGAAAAGAACGCTGGAGGAAACTCCTCCACTTGGACTTGTTTGCAACTCCGGCCGGACTTTAAATACTGCTGATTGTTCTACTTGGCTTTAAATATGAGTGAACGAACAGATCTTATTGGGTTAAGAATAATCTCATGTCACAGGCGTTGGCTTTAACACACACACCTTTAGCATTACCTTGATGTCTCTGTGAGCAATGTTGATGGAATGCAGGAAATGTGTGGCTTCTCCAATGCTTTTCATGATGTCAGAGGCCTCTGAGGGACACAAGGGAGTGAAGATGAACGAAGGAGTTCAACCACAAAGATTAAATTATAAAAATAGCATTGCGTGGTCAACACAGAAGTATTTCATATAAATAATTGCTGTGTCCTTCTTTTTTAGACATTCCAGTGATGCAGTTTGAAGACTACTGAGACTCCGGCCCATCTAAGTGAAGCGTGGGTCCATCTTAGATGCTTACTGCCCCCCCCATATGCCAAAGGGATCGTATCACCATGACAACGTCAAAGAATATGTACAATGATTTGCATTAAATGATGTATTCTATGCTCTTTACTCCCTGATTGGAACCTCTTCCAGGCTCTTTCCTCACAAGATGAGAGATACTTTCAGACTCTGTAAGGGGTCGGCTGACGTTGGGATTGAGCCAAGAGCTCTGTTTATGTTCTCAGGGGCCCTTCAGTTCCCGAGGCTCATCAAGCATCAGCCCAGCTGCTCACCGACCCTCCTCGCTGGCTCCAGAGAGCTGCCGCTGGTTTTTGAGGGTTTCGCTTGGTCTCGGTTGGCTGGTTGCTAGCGAGGTTTCTGGTAGCCAGCCGGGATAATCGTTGAGAAAGTTTGGCAAAGGGTCCTCTGACTCTAGATTTTCTCTTGTGTTTTGGCTAGCTAGGGAGTTCAGTATTGTCTAAGGAAGTCTTTTGGGAAGTAAGCAGAGCTACATCGTTACCGCGGGAGCTTCGGTTATTGTTTTGGCCTCAAAACAAGATTCTGATGTTACAACCTCATATTTTGTTTTACTTTCTGTTAAAACAATGTTAATAATGACCCCGATATATTGCAGCTATCCTTTAGTTTTTAACCTTCAGCCAACATTAACGAGCTGTTACAGCTTGTGTACCCCAAGGCCCCACATTTCAATAAGAGCGGTGGCTCTCTTTCACAACCAGGAGGGGAATAATCAGCCAGAATAACATTCTGTAATTACCGCTCTATGAACTAGAGTTTATAAAGAAACAAGGTACGCGTCAATTCCAGTGTTACTGTCATTTTTAGTGCTACAACTAACTATTATTAAGTATTATGCCGGCAGATAAAGTTAAAAAACCTTTCGTGAGTAATGACGAGCGGGATCAGCCTGCCCCCCTCCTCCAAATCGACCGTGGCAGGAATGCAACAAAGCAGATTATTAACTGCTCCAAAGAATCAAACCACACTGACCAACAGGAAGCAACTGGCACAAAAGTCTCTTGGATTGTAACTTGAACTTGCTTGAGAAATTCTAAACGATTTCTTTACCTCTTTCTGTAAATGCATGATTCCTTCGGTCTTGGATGTGACTGAATAATTCTCCTCCATCCATGCTGAAAAAAAAAAACATCAACATAAATATAGTGGAAGGAATCTGTTCCGGCTCGTCAATGAAACACTGTTTCCTGGTTCAGCTGAGAGGGTCACAGAGGCGGCTGCTTATTACTAATTTAGGAATGAGAAATCACTGTTGCTTTAATAACCTCGGAGGAGTCAACAGGTTAAGTTCAAAACTTTGGAAATTACATATTTTGGACCAAAAGTTGCACCAGGCCTCCTCCAAGGTGACATGATTAAATGTCATGGAATACACTGTGTTCATCTTATTTATTGCCTGATACTTTGCGCTGACGTATTGCGGATTAGATTTTGATCCTTTACTTGCCAGAAAATTTTTTTTGTGTTTAATAAAAAAAACCCAATAAACTTCAAGAGTTCCTTTCTTTAACGCTGTCAACTTAAATCTAAAACAGCTGTAAACATCGGTCACTTAAAACGCAGCCGGTTTTTATTGTTTACGGTCCGGATTGAATTATAACACAACATTAATCACATCCCACATTGCTTTATATCATTTTGTAACATTGGGCCTGGCCGTCGATCATGTGGACACCTGCCTAATGTCCCTCTCCGCTGGCGCGCATTAACAAAGCTAACACTGAGCGGTTGTGTTTCAAGACCACACACAGCATGAGAGGCACACACCACTCCATCACGATGAGGAGGCACTTCCTTCCATGGTAGATGTTCTCATAGACCCCTATGATGGGCACAATGTGGGGGCAAGGGGACACCCTCCAGTGGAGCTCCACCTCACGTCTGGCCTCTGGGCCGTCCTGCAGCATCTGAAATGTTCAATACATTTAAAAAAAAATTAAAGAAATGAATCTGCGAAAAATGTCATGAGATGACATAAGTATTTTTTAACAAGCAGAAATGCCCAAAAGATGTTTTTCTTTTTTGTAAATGACGGTAAACTTTATTCTAACAAAATAAGATGTTTCGGAAATTTCAAAAAACGACCACGAGCATCATCATGATCTCCCCCCCCCCCCCCACCTTACAAGATCTACCGCTTTAACAGGACCTCAGCGGAGGTTTCAGAACGACAACTTATTAATACGGGTGTTTTTATTGGCTGTGATTCGGCAGCTCGTGAGAGAAAAACTGCTGATAATTCCTTTTATGGGATATAAAAAGTCCTATAAGACGTGTGAGTGAGCACACACTAGCGCTTATTGTCCAACAGATTACTGGAAAGAGCTTCTAAAATTCCCGATTGCCTGTTTGCCGACCACCGTGTTACGCACAAAACGGCACGTTCTGGTGGAATAAATAAAAGTTGTTTTTCTCTCTCGCGTACATTCGTTCGCGTCTCCTTCTTGTTTACTCCAGACTCCTTCACGTGCTCTCAGCGTGACACCTCGTCTCGTTGAGCTCCAGCAGCGTCATAATCTGTCGGGCATCTCATGCACGAGGCTACTTTTAGACACAGGCGCCCCCCCCCCCACCTCCTCTTCCTCGTGCTGGACGGGGAGAGTCAACACTCGTCTTTGGAAGCAGACACCTCGCCCTGGCAGCAGAGGCCAGAGAGATGTTGGACAATATATATCATTCTCCTGATTTACGGAGCATAAATCAGAGCCCTCACAAACCCTTAAATTACCAGTTCCAATGAGAACAAAGATCTGCAACTCACATCAAACACCGGCGTTCACCCCACCTCTTGAACCCTGCTATGCCTACGATTCTGCCTTTAAATCCAGATGTGACAGGGGTTACTCTGTACGCTCGGATATGCTTCACATGCGCCTCATCTCTTCGGGTCTTCATCCGGAGGAATGTGGTGCGGTGACCTATTGATCGATCTCCCTGAATGCAGGTACGTTACATTTATCTTCACGCGCAAACATTTGATTATTATGGGGTGAAGGGTTAGGGTTAGGACCACGTGTTTCTATTAAATAACCACATTCTCGGAGCTCCAGGACGGAGGGTTGAGATAACAGTACCTTCAGTGCGTACTTTGCCCCGCTCGCTCTGTGGAAAACCTCCAGCACGCGGCCATTGATCCCCATCCCGAGCACCTGGCTGGTCACACTGTAATCGTCTGTTATCACATTCCTTCTGATGCGAAGAGGGCCGGTAAACGCCTCCCCAAAGCGCTGTGGGAGAGGCGCGGGGTCAAGGTGGAGGTGCTGCTGCTGGTGGTGGTGCCGCTGGCCCGGGTGGAGCTGATTCGACATGCCTGCTGACCCGACCGAAGGGCGCGCGTCCCCGTCTGCTCACCGCGGGACCGACTGTGGCTCATGTTGCTGTCCCTGCAGGAGATAAGCCCCCGACACGAGCAGGGACAGCTGCCCCCTCCCCCACACCCACCCACAGCCCCCACCCCAAGTCCTCCACCACCAGCCGAGTGGCTGTCCGGGAAAGTCTGGTTTCCTCTGAGACTGTCAACAGGCCGCCGGAAAACTTCCTCCTGGTGAACAAATCAAACGTTTAATGAACTCAATTAACCAATCAGGGGACGAGCGGATGGGGGCGCCCCGCTCGTGGCCGAGGACGGGGCTGCTGCTCTATTTGTGACCCAACAGGGAGAATAGTTTGACTCTAAATATTAGGCTCCCCGATTGGAATAAAGAAATATCCAGATCTCAGTTTAATTGGTGAATATATTTGTCTCGTTTAAAGGGGTCGAGCAGCCACACCTGCAGGTCAGAGGCGGCCGGCTTCCCGCTGACATCTTGTATCATTTTAATGAATCTAAGGCTGCTGAAGATATAATGAAGAGGTCACGAAATGACGCCTGAGCAACGGAGGAAGGGGAGCAGTAATTCTGCTGCACGGACCTTCATCGGACAGAACGCTCCGTCCCAGCAGATGAAATGTCAGGTTTGATGATCTCAATATAATACGAGATCATCAAACCTGACATTTCATCTGCTTTTTCCACTTAAGCACAACAGAGCCACCGCTGTCTCTTTTTGTTTTCTTACCTCATCCATCGTACATACCACGTCGTCCGTAGTGCTCCTTCTCCTCTTTAATCCTCTCTAACACGATGCCAGCACACCACCAGGCGTTGTCAAAGCAAAAGGCCGCTGGTTTCTCGGCTCGGTGGAATTCCTCAAAGGTTTCTTTGTTGGGATTCTTCCTTTTTTGCACATTTTATTGGTAATTAACATTGAGCGCTTTGTCGGTCCTTCCGTACTTATATATGTATGTGAATAGAAGAGGAGCAGAACAGTTATTCCGAATTAAAATTAACGAGTCAGACTCTAAATAAAGTAAAGTACAACAAAATTGGCCTAAGAATGAACTTAAAGTATCCAAAGTAAAATGACTCATGTATCACTTTGATCTCGCAGCAAGTAAAGATGGGGTTGATTTTCTTTGTTTCTTCCGTTACATTAAAAGAAATACCAATTTGATACATTAACTGTGTGCAGATGTCCTTTGTTTCCACGCTCTTTCTGCTGAATGATGACGTCATAGTTTGAGATATCCAGCGGTGTGGTCCCGTTACGTAGAATGGATTTACTCATGTCAAATATAAGTATCTTACAGTTGTACCACTAAAAGTACCTGCTTACATTCCAGGGAACAAAATTCAGCCACGAAAATGTCCATCTGGACGTGGGAAGAAGATTCAAAGGGAGATAATTGAATGGATGTTTTCGGGCCAAAAAGTCATCTGGATATTTTGGAGAGGAGCGTTTTTTGAGTGTGCGTGACACCTTTGTCTGTTTGTGATGGCGTGCAGACTTGATTTTTATTAAGACAGAAAATGGCACACATCAAACGCACAATCCGGAAAAGCCTGAATTAAAACTATTCAGCAGACAATGCCAGCGATGACCGATGAATGTCCAGACTCAAGAAACAGATGATGCACATCAATATATAGGACTGTAAATATGTGTGAGCCGTTCTCTGTCATTTAAGGACTTCTCTATGGTTCTGGAAAGGGGAGAAAAAACTGCTCAAATCGGCCATCAACAAAACCTCCCCCGGAGAAAGAAAACGCATCTTTGATCATTTATTTGAAGGTTTATTCTCAAGAATTCCATAACAATACTCAATAAAAAAAGACGGACGATATGAATTGGAATATTAAAAAGAAATGTGGTTTTCCCAGTTGAATTATTGGAACATACTACAATGTATCTAGCCACCCCACGGTTTTGCTGTACAATTTCTGCCAAAAGCAGCATGTGTTCCTTTAACATCTGGATGAGGCTGCACATAATGGCTGCACATTAAGAAAGTAATGTGTATGTAAAGCAATAAGTAAAGTAAAAAAGTATATCGCACAGAAAGGCTGATATTTTGCCAAAATAAATGATGATTTACAGACGTCCTGTTCATTTTATATTGTTGACACAATATATACGTAATGTTTTGAAGAACAAGGGCATTGTAACACCCAGTGTCTTCACGTATCCCCTTTCCCTCCTCATCACCACAGACCTCCACCTCAATAAACTCCATGCTGCTTTTTTCAACATCTGTTTCCCTCCCTTTCATCCTGGAACGGGATGCGATATCCTCTCAAAACATTCCCGACTGGACCCAATCATACAAGTACCAAGTCCAAAGGTCTTGTAATCATTCATATAATGAGTACTCTTTTTTTTTTTAAACATACAACGAAGACCACATTCTCTCACTTCCACCCTTCAGCGGGGCTCGTTCGGATGGCGGAACCTAAAAGTTGAGGCGGAAGAGTTTCATGTCGGACATAAACACGCGTCGGACCACCAACGTAAAATAGCAATTGAACACATTTCGCGAGGCTGTCGCGTCGTGAATCAACCTGTCGCGGCAGGTGTTCCCCTTGTGACAGGATGTTCGCCAGGCAGTTTCGAGTCAAGTCCAACACCGCCATCAAAGGTTCGGACAGGTGAGCCGCGCGTCGCGTGTCCCCTGACCGCAGGACGCCGTCATAACCACCGGTCACAGCGGGAGGTTCCGTTATAGCGAACCGAGCCAACTATTCTGGAATCATCGCTGAAACACATCTTACTAGAATACTGCTAAATGCATCTAATAGGACATATCATGTATACGTCATGTATGTAACTGTATAGTCGCTCAGTCCCGACTCTTGTGTGTTCATTCTCATGTTTACCCACAATTCAGCGGGCTCGGAACACTGTGTGTGATAGAAATAACATTTAGTTAGAAAACGACAATCGGACCAAGGTGCAATTTATGTGTTTTAATTTTTTTTTTAAACGCTACGGCACATGCAATCAATAATTTGTTATCGATAATCAGTTGTTAAATCTGTGTTGCCTTTATGACTATGTAACGAGAACGCTGTGTCCAGCAGAACAGAATCCCGGCAACATGCTTCCTGTGTACGTCGCCGTGCGGCGATCCGGTGGACTGAGAGTGGCTGTTTTTCCCCTTTTCAGGAGGAAGCTCAAAGCGGACGTTTCCGCGGCCTTTCCCTCGCTGACTGCCGACGAGCTCTGCGAGCTCATCCCCAACAAAGAGGAACTCAACGTGGTGAAGATCTACGCACACAAGGGCGACGCCGTCACGCTTTACGTTCTCCACAAAAATCCGCTGTTCTTTGAGCTGGAGAAGCGACTTTACCCGACAGGTGATGACTCGACCGCGGCGATCCCGTTACGCTGGCATCATCGGACGGGCTCCTCCTCGCACGCACTTCTTCTAACGGCGCATTGTCACTTTCCTCTCTTCAGTCTACGTGCTCTGGCGCCACCCTGCTCTCCTGCCGACGTTCAGGACGTGGCCTCCGGTGCTTGAGAAGTTGATCGGAGGAGCAGGTACGCTTCTTTACCCGAGAACGCTCGATGACCCCGTGTGGTCATTTGCCGCCTCTCAGGGGAGTCACATGGTGATGAAATCCTACATCGAGATGTCCTGACGCACGACGGTCACGGCGAGCAACTCAAAGTTCATACGAATACCCGAGTGTGATTCAATCAAACTATTATCTGAATCTTTTTGTCCATGTTTCTTTTCTCTAAAAATTTCAGTTGCACAAGAGTTCTTAATAGGATTTGTCGTTCACAGTTGAGTTATGACATGAACTAAAGATTCCGGCAGTAATTTGCCCTGATGAATTAAATCTTTCTGTTTTTCCCTAAAAGATCTCATGCTGCCGGGCGTGGTGGCGCCGTCAGGCGGCCTCCCAAACGTGAAGCGAGGCGACTGCTGCTCTGTCACCTTGGTGAACAACAGGTGAGTTATTGCAACATGTTCCCAGAAGCAAAAGACGTCTGCAAAGCGCTCATCGCGGACTTTGACTGTGACACCGGCGGCGGGTTTTGCAGAGCTCCGGTTGCCGTCGGCAACGCCGCGTCGTCCAGCGAAGAGATGCTCAGCGCGGGCATGAAGGGGAGAGGAGTGTGCGTTCTCCACGCGTACATGGATCATCTCTGGCGAGTTTTATTTGCCCTCATAACACTGTTAGCAGGCGTCGCCTCACGCACAGCTGCCTCTCTGTAACAGGATTCGCCATCGGGCCCGTAAATTAGCCTGCATGTTTTTTCTTTTAGGGCTTTTGGAGATAAATCGGGTCCTCCTTCTTTCCCGGATGCAGAGGGCGAAGGGCAAGAGGCGAATGGAGAGGATTATGAGGTCGATGACACACAGGAGGAGGCTGAGAGGTGCGAGGAGGAGGAGGAGGAGCAGCTTTCAAGTGAAAAGGTCAAAGATCAGCCCTGCTGCGGTAGTGAGGCGCTGAGTCTGGCCGTGCAAGAGGAGCAGAGGGCCGATGAGGAAGAGGAGGCAGATCAAGAAGACCAAAAAATGCCACAAGGTACCAGACACAGTCACGCCTCGCAGCTCATTAGTACAAAGGAACCCAACTCATTAAAGTACATTCCACCGCGGCCTCCATGGCCTCGTTATCGCCCCTGATTCAAATCAAACGGATGCATTCTGCAGCCAGACGAGCGTCCGGCCGCCGTTAATTCGGTGGGGTGATGGTCTGATGTGACCCGGGTCCCACTCTGATATCCACAGAGACCATGGATGCTCTGCTGTTGCAGTGTTTTCTCCACGCGCTCAAGAGGAAGGTGAAGAAATCCGAGCTCCCCCTGCTGACCAGCACGTTTCTCCGCAACCACATGTTCTCCTGCTGGTAAAAGTTCAGTTGCACTTTTTTTTTTTTTTCTTTCCTTTGGGACTTTTGAGAAGAGAAATTGAATGTATTACTGAAAACATCTGGCGTTGTTTCAGCCCGAGTGGAAAGCAACTTGACATCAAGAAATCCAGCTATAAAAAGGTGTGCTGAATGTACAGAATGGTAATGTCATACATCGGCCATCAGTAAGGGCGAAAGTAACCCCCCCCTCTCCCCTCCATTAGCTGTCCAAGTTTCTTCAAGCCATGCAAAAGCAACATAACCTCATTCGAGTGAAAGAACTGACCAAGGGAGTGGAGAGCATCGTGGAGGTGGACTGGAACAATAAAGAGTGAGCCGAGCAACGTCTCAACCTGAGAGATTCACCAGCCCGCCCACGTCCAGCCTGACTCCCCCTTTGGTTTCCCCCCTTCTTTCTTATTCCAATAAATCTTTACAGGCTGCGTTATTTCAAAGTTGTCGAGGAGACAAATGGCGACGCGGCGGCGGCGGCGCAGGACGGCGGGGAAGCAGAACCTCCTTACCACCCTCCCGAGATCACCACGCTGTACTCCGTGTCGGCCCGGCTGGAGCCGCTCTTCCTGGACGCCAACAAGAGGTGTGTTTTGTTTATGCTAACCCCTGCCTCTGGTTGCATGCACACGGACCAGGTCTCCGCATGGACAACCCCCGATTCCGGGCCATAAACCTGCTGTTTCCCTGTTTAATGGACTGGTGCCGGTGCCGGATGCCCGATCGGCTCCCTGAGGTTCGCTCGCCACGGAGAGTTTCCCACTATTCGCTTCTCATTTGACCAATTCTAGAAAAAACGGACCTGACAGCCACGAGTATCTGTTTTGTACGGGATGTATTTTCTTTAGGTTTGTGTATTCTAGAGGTCCATGTAGATCAGGGCCTGGGAACTATTCCAGGCTAAAGGAGAAGCTGCTCTTTGTGCTTTCTACCCGTCACCTGTAGAATAGTCCCTCCGTGCATGTGGTGAATCCAATGACACTGTAAACTGAAGCTGTGCACATTTATTCCTGTGCTCTCGTCTGCTTTCATGCCCCATACAGGAAAGGAACGATCCTGCAGCCTGCTGAAGTGAGACACATAGTCACAGAGTATGTGAAGAAGAATGAGCTGGTGGATGAAAATAACAAGAAGTGAGTGGATACTAAAAGAACCAAGAGGTTATGGTTGTCCAATGTTGTCTCACAGTGGAACGCTGCGCACTAGCTAAAGGAGACTCTCATGGGATCTTTTAGAATCCTTGTTTAATTTCAATCAAAGCTGATCTTTTTGATCAGTAGTAGGAAACGGAAGAGAAAATGTATAATTATCTGCGTAATAAAGGAAATTAGATCTCGGTATCTAAAGGGCGTACAGCCTAACAAGGCAGCATGCTTCCTGTTAGATGCCATCCATCAAGTATGAGTGGTTCCTACCAACCCCCCTTCTCCTCTCTCCGTCCCCTGTTCACAGCTACGTCACCGTGGACCCGACGCTGTGTGACTGCCTGTTGGAGAAGTCGGAGTACCAGGAGGTCCAGTCTCTTAAGTGGGACGACCTCTTCGGCAGGTAAGGACTTTGCTTTGTGAGCTTCACGGTCGCACAAGAGGCCTCAAAAGCCCTCGTAGGACCACGAGGGGCTTGAAGGAGCTGCAGCGAAAGGACAGGAATTGTTTTGTAAGAAAGCTCCGACTCACACCGTGATGCCTTTTTATCTTTTTATTTAGACTACCCCGGGTTTTTTTGTAGTGGGGCTTTGTGGGCTGTGATTCCCTTTATGTAGGAATGTTCTTTTTCAAAAAGCCGTTTCCCATTGTTGATGCTCCTCAAGGTCGTAAGGTCACTTACACCTCAACATTCCTGCTCTTTACGTGAAAGCGAAGCTACAAGCTTCTCTGTTAGCGCGGTGGTCCCTCGGCCCTCTGACCTTCGCAGCCCCCTCGTCTCCGCAGGGCGCTGGGAAAGATGGCCGAGTGCTATGAAGTCGTGTTCCCCGGACATGCACCCGTAAGAAAGAAGGGCCACATGGAGCCCATCGACGTCTCCGTGGCTTCTCGGGGCTCCAATAAGAAGGTGAGAGCCCGTTAAAAGCGACCCCATAAACAACCAGCTGTATCAGCACAGACTCAACATTCCAAAACAGCGGCGGCGCAGGAAGGTTTGGAGCTACGTGCTAACTTCAATATGCTAACATGCTGCTTGTAAACCTGTATCCTGCCCGTTGATGACCAACGCGGTTTCTCTCCCCGTCCAACGTCAGCCAGCAGATGCTGCAGTGTTTGAGTAACCATAGTAACCGCCGTAGCCGCAGCATCGTTGCCGTCGACATCGTTTCTTGTGCGCCGCCTGCAGGTGACTCTGATAAAGAACCTGGACGCGTACGGTCTGGATCCCGCCGCCGTGGGCGCCGCATTGCAGCGCCGCGTCCAGGCCAGCTCCGTCCTACAGCCCGTCCCCGGGTCCAAGGACAAAGTCGTGGTGCAGATCCAAGGCAACCAGATCCACCAAGTTGGCCGTCTGCTGACGGGTAATGAGCACCGACCGGATCACATCCAGCGAGATCCGCCAACTTCTTCACCTGTGCACGTCTAATGTTTTGTTTCAATTGCAGATTATTATCAAATTCCTCGCAAGTACATCCAAGGACTCGACAAAGCTCCGAAAAGTGGAAAGAAGTAACGTTTAAAAACTGTATTTCAAACTCATTTAATAAAGGTGATCACTGCTCTCCTGCAGATCCATGTGTGCACTCACTTTGTTTTGATATGTTGATCTGATTTGGCTCCCAGATTATTAGATTAGGTTTTCTGATCATTTAAACCAGAGCAGCGTTGTTTCCCTGCAAAGGGATCTGATGCAGAAAACGTCAAATGTTCAACCTTTTTTTCCCAGTTTAGTGATGTGTCCCCAAAAAAATAAACAGTTTCTAAAAATGTCTAGTCCAGTAAAAAAAGGAGGGGAAATGCAAATAGAGAAATACTTTTAGAATAAGTCAGTGTTTTGTACGCTGCTGCGTAGGATTTGTTTAGTCATCGAATCAACTTCAAATGTTAAATGTTGTGGTGTCCAAAGGTGTCGTATCGGTTTCAGGGATGTTGTATTGTGGTAAAAGAAGGAATTTGGCCATCAAGATCTCTTTTTGTCTCCCTCGGCCACCAAAGTGGAAGAAGATCTCAGTGGATAAAGATGATGGGCTCATCTGAAATGTCCTTCAGAAGCCAACGACGAAGTAGCTTAAACCAACATTCTCCCTGATGACCAAAGAGTTTAATGTCTCTGGACATAAAAAAAATAGTCTCTGGACAATTCTCTTTTATTTATTCCCTCAACAATATGTCTCAATCTCTAGTTTCAAGCAGCATGATGTTGATTTAAAAGCATGACGTCCAATAAAGCTGATTCTGATTCAGTACACGAGTCAATTAGGCCATAAATAGACCTTAAAGCGGAGTGCGCTTTAGGGCGGGGCTTGTGAGATTGACAGATCTCTTCCTCTCTGGAAGTCGTCTCTTTTTGCTCTTTCACGGTGTTTCATCTCCATGCAAGTTTATTAAAACATTCTTCTCTCTTAGGCTTCACTTCGCGTGACTTTAGCGTGCGTCAAACCGATCACGTGAATTTAACCCAAGTGCGTCAGACCCAAAGAGGCGCCGCTCACTGGTCGCCATCCCAACGGCTCCCACACGCGTGGCCGCCAATTACTGACGTCACCCGGAGACGCGCCGCTCAGCTTCCGGCTGTCCAGGTCCGCTGGGGTTCATGTTGTTGGTCCGAAATGGGTGCAGAGGCGCAAGAAAGGCTGTACAGTACTGACTCTCCGGTCTCCTTTACGCGTGCATTTAAAGAAAAGCGGTTCGGCCTTCATCTTCTATGAATTATGAGTATCCTTATGAAGCGGATCAGAGAAACCGCTCGACTCGATTCAAAGGAAGTCGTTTTAATGAGAAGTTCTGTGGCCGTCCTGCAGAAGGTCAGAGCCTGCAGCTGCAGGGATGGAAATGCTCTTGTGAAAGGCCTCTTTGTGCCGCTCACAGCGGGTCTGGTGGCCCCGTTTACACTTTACATTTACTTTTTTGATCTAACATAAACGGTCTATGCAAATGTGCAATATTTGCATTTTTTTGTTTTGATTTTTTTCCAAAGAGTGAATCTTTGCTTCCTTTAAAGCACAGTTGATTAAACCAGCATCTGCTAGGTAGTATATAGATAAAAACTACTTAAAGCTTCACAGTCAAAGTTGCCTTTGCTCTCTGCTGCAAATGCTTCACTTTTGCAAGTATAAATGAATCCATTTAATTGACAATTATTGTAATCAGAAGTTGAGAAAAACAGAGCTTCCCACGATCCATTTTCCTTCAAATTCTGGCACCTCGCTACCCACAATGCAACTCGACCGCCGAAATCCGGTCCTTTCTGCAGAACGGTGCTCGCTTTGCTCTCGTTGTCATGGAGACGTCCACCGTCCAGAAAAAGCAAAAGCAAAATAAAACAAGAGTTGAAAAAGCAGCAGACAAATATAACATGTGTTCATTTGTCCAAATGTGATAATCATTTTGCTGCTTTCAGGGTCGTGTTGTGTCTCCTGTTCAAACCAGTCTCACTGACAACTCGAACCATGGGCCAGTTCCATTTAGCTGAGCCGAGGCCCCTCCAGCATCGTGCACACGTCATAATACCGAAGGGCACTTGAACACAACACAGCTGTCTCTACTGGGGCCAAACAGGAACCCTAAAACCACGACTACAGAGAAGACAAATGGTATTAAGACCATAAATGTGTAAACATATTACTGCACACATTATTATTAATATCCACCTATTAACACAAAAGTCACAAACACCGAATATACTTTACTGTTTGTATATTACAAAGAAATGAGGTAGTAATGTGCACTCTGCCCCCCCCAGCTTGACTTTAATGGGCTGTAGAAAGTGATAAAAACACTGAGCGACCATCTGCCAGGAGGCGCCGCCAAGCGTCTCCGTGTCGCCACCCTTCGACCTTTTCCCCGCTGGGTTTTCCGCCCGCGCCAGTTCTCCGTATAACATTCCGATCCCGTCGGTGTCATCGCATCGCGGCTTCCGCCGAGCTGCTTGAGTTGCAAAACGCCTTCGTCCCGGGCGGCTCGGTCGAAGGGAAGCTGCTGAAATGGAAATGGAACACGACGAATGGAAAATTGAAATCAGGAGTTCAAGGAGGACGGATGACTGAGCTGGCAGTTGTGCACTTTTACACCGGCGCTCGGCACATTCCCCCCAAAATGCAGAAGAGAGACCTTTGTGTCTTTGAGCGGGGACGACAGAACTGATCGTAGATGCTGATAAAAACTGAGCTGAGGCCTAATCTGCAGTGGGACGTTCCCATTATCTAAATGTTCGTGTTTACTGGGGATCTGAATTGGATCAGCGCTGCTACGCGGTTGACCTTTGGGAATTAACCTTCCGGTCTGGACGGTTTTCTTTTATCCCTGATATCAAGTTCTGTGTGTCCTCCGTCTGTCCGAACTCTTTAAGTCTTAGACCTCGGAGACAACCCGATCAAGCAGCCTGCACGTATTTAACATTTAAACAGTTATAATTCTCTCTCTTTGTCTCCGTCTCTGTCTCTCTGTCTGTCTGCGTCTGTGACAAATAAATACATTGTGCAATAAATTGTGTTATTCGTGTTTCTGTTTTCATCAATGCAGCTCTAGATTAACTAGGATTGTCTCATCTGTCGGCACCACTGAGGTCAGTTCTGACTCGCGCTTCCAGCTGCGTCCCGGTTTTGACCCGCAGAGACTCCTGCTGCTGTGGCTTGTGCTTTGTGAGGACTCAGTCAACACACGGCTCTATTTTGGATTTAATCTAATGAACAAACCATCAAAAAGTCCTCCGACTCATTCGACTTGATCGCCGAGCCCTCGAGGCAGCAGCAGGTCTGCAATCTATAAAGTTTTCTTGAATACAGCATGATGTCCGTTTAGTGGATTATGGTCCAATAGAAATAAAGCAGGACATATTTTAGGGCCTGGCTACCGTGTGATTGGCAGGTCGCTGCAGCCCCCGCCCCCTGCACCCTCCAGACACACAGAGGTTGTGTTTATTGCTGTCTCTGTTTTTATATTAATAGTATCATCTCATCATGCTGGTAATATCGTTATAATTATAATGCGATTTCCCTGAGATGACGTTGTTGCTCCATCGTTTCCATGGTTGTGCGTCTGACCCGAAAGGACAAACAAAAAGGAGCTCATGAGGAGCAGAAGTGATGTAAATCTCCTTCAGATGCACGCGGCCCGTTGCCGCGGTAACGCGGGGTTCAGCGGATCTGCAGGGCGGACGGAGGGTCCAGCATTCACACGTAGGCTTCCAGAGTCCTTACAGACTGCACACGGGGGATCTGGGCCCCCTGAGACCTGCACCCCGAGGACAAAGCCGGGCTCGCTGGGGTGTTTTACCAGCAGCAAATAAGACTTGTGGTTCCGGCGCGGCGCAGATGTTACGTAAGGCTGTAAGCCGCTGGTGAAGAAAGATGTTTTCTGAAATCTCCATTTGGCACGCAGGGCGCCGGTGACTCCGGGGGCCATTTTAGGCGGATTAGTCTCACCTTTCCTGTTCCGGCGAGGTCCAACTTTTTAGCCTTTTTTGTTTTTACCTGCCGCGTTTCAACGGCGAGGCCTACTCGCATGACAAGAGCAAAAAAAAAAAACGATTTGTCACTCAGTCACTTGACTGTGCTCCTTTTGGATCAGCTTGCTTGTTTGTTGTTTTGGGGATAACACACTGATTGCGTAACCGGCGCTCAGGCGACGCTTCGCTCACTGAGGTCATCGCTGCCGGTCCAGTTTACAGCTGAGAGGATGAGAAGATCAAAATGATTTCGACGCACTTATGGAAAATATTTAAATCTGGCGCATCTGTTTCGCGCGTGTCGTCACAAGTAGCACGTCGTTGTGCTTTTTTTCTTTTTTGCATTCTGTCCGATAATCCACAAACTGTGTTTTTAGCCCGTAATGCGGTTTGCAAAGTGACAGGAAGTTAAACAAACGCTTCCACTCTGTTCGCTGCCAGGGTTCTGCGGCTTGTCGTGCAGAAAAGCAGAGATGAGAATGAGTCTCTTTTCTCACTTTGAGCTGTTCTGGCAACAATCCTCCCGTATGAGTGTTTCTATTAAAGTTCTTGTTCCATAAGCCGTCGGCTCACAGAAAGCAGATGGAAACCCTGAAAGAGAAAGGAAGTGCCACGTCTAAAGTGAGCCTACAAACCACGTGACCGAGCGGAGGACGCGGTGATACGCGCCAAAAGGTGCCGATGATCACCGGGGATCAGTTTGAGCCGCTACAAGCGGACACAGTCTGTGCCGCCATCTGTTGGTCATCAGTCAGCACATCAGGAACTGCTCACAGACGGACGCAGAGGCCTGAACGTCCAGACGGGTCTGCCTGGAATGCGGTCGGTAACGTCGCGTTCACGCGCCACTTTTCAGCCGCCTCAAAGTCAGCGGCGAATGCGGAGGTCAAACTTCATGTACCTGTATAACAATATAGAGATAAACGTCATCTTTAAACCTTTAAACCCCCACCAGGCCCTCATTTTGAAGATCTCCGGGCTAAGCTAAGCTAAGCTAAGCTAACCGTTTGTAATAACATAACGTATTTTCTCATTGTGTTGTACTCCAGTTAGCTGGTGAATTCTACTGACAACATAAGGCGCTCAGGCACTACAGACCAGCTCGCTCTGGCACATTGAACAAGT